AAGATCAGGGGTGTGACTGAAAGACAGCTGTAAGAAGGAGCCAAGGAGTAGCATTAGAAAGACTGCAGAAAGTCAGGAGCCCAGAAGAGGGGGCAAAGGGGAGGGATGGGGATGGGGCAGAAAGGAGAGACAATGGCAGACGACAGAACATGGTCACTCAGAGTCAGAGAGCAGGAAAGGAGTCAGTAAAGTTGAAGGGAGAAAATTTCAGAGAAGAAAATTCCCGTTTCAGTCAGGATTCGAACCCGCGACCCATTGAATGAGAGTGAGAGGCCAATACTGTAACCTTTAGACCCCAAGAGCCCCCCCCAGCTTGATAGTAGATTTGTAGGCAGAGAACGAGGGCTCCGACTCCGATAAGAGAAATTCTTATCATGTGTATTCCGACAGAATGAGAAATGCTGACAAATCTAAATTGAGGTTGCGTGTGACATTTTTTAATCATGTCTGTAAAATATCATATCAATCAACCGGCTCAACACTTTTCTGCCACTCGTAATTGCCGATGTGTCTACACTACCGTAAACCGACTTTTTTCAATTTTGGCCCCATTTTCTTTTATTTATGTCTGCTTAATAATAGAAAGCCTGAACAGTTAGATCTAGATCTAGTAGTTACCCTACACGGGTGTGAGAACAAAATCAAAGTGAAACTGTGACTAGTGCTTGCTTGAATAATTCACAATTCAAATTTCAGAAGGACACTAAAGTAACAATGGACGTTGACGTGTACTTGTGACAGAAGCGTCGCTTGTTCTTCGAATGGTAGCGACCCGTGTGTTCGTTTTACCATACAGTAGCATTGGCACTCGGTCTTCATCGTCTTACTACATTATATTTCGTTTATTTTACGCGTTCACAAAATTAGCAACAAAATAAAAAAGAAAAGCTAACCAAAAAACAAACCGACAAAACAGCAACAAAAAAACCCTAAACAAACTTACACTAGTTACACCCCCTCTCCCTTCCTTTTCCAAAAGAAAAAAAAATCTTTTTGAATTCGCCTTACAGGCAGTCCAAAGTCTGACATCAGCCCCAGTTTGGACCTCCAAGGAGAACGGTTTTTCTTCATACTTCATCAGTCCTGCCTGGGACGGCCACTTCCCTCCTTGACAGTGGGTGGCCGTTTAACACAGGTTTGACTGTAGTTTTTTTAATGGTTCCGTGGACAAAAAGCCTCTGTGAATTAGGTAAAAGGCAGTCAGTCTGCAGTATGATGATAGTGCATCATAAAATAATGTTAATTTGTCCAGGCCTTCTAATCAAAGATCGAAGAAGGCCCAAGTTTGGTCCTAGAGCTATCGGAGATGGACATTAAATTCGGAAGTCCAACTTCTTTAAAATAACCTTCCAGTACACAATACACAGTGTGAAGTAAGTTACACTAAACATCATGTAGAAGGAACCAAGGAATAGCTAGCAGTAGAAAGAGCCAGGAGCCCAGAGGATGGGACTATGGGAGGGAAGAGGAGACGAGAGCAGGCGACAGCATGGTTAGGGAGTAACGGTTTCCGTTCTCAAGATTATTTTGGTTATTTGCGAGAGTTCGGCGTCACCTTTCATTCTGCGAGGACTGGGAAGAAGCATTTTTTTGCATCGAAATTAAATTTCAGGAGCTAGATCTAGAGATTTTTAGATTCTAATTGTTTCAGATATTTCAATAAATTGTGGTTGGGGCAACGTTCCCCGATTGTATTTTATTTGAAAATGCCTTCAAATTCAAAAGGTACTGCGAGAAAACAAGACTGCTCAACTTTGGCAGTAACCTAATTTTGCATTTAGGCACCCCTAAAGCAAGAACTTTTTAAAAATTTACCAACACACACACTCTCTCTCACACACGAAGGCCACTCCATTTTCAAATAACCAAAAAATCTCGAGAGCGGAAACTGTTCGCAGAAATTTTATAGTTGATTTTCTCCTAGCGATACGGAGAAATAGAGTCGGGTACTGAGCAGATAGAACTTTATAAATTGTAATTCTAGAGTAGCTAGTAGTCAGGGGACTGATATACTCGTATATCAAACCATGGTTTGCTGTTCATTTCTTGGTATGAACGCTCTCCGTAAACCATATTAACAAATGGCGTTGGTAGTCTAGTAGTTAGGCTACCGGACTCCTAATCCTGAAGTTGCTGGTCAGGAGGTTAGTAGAGGGTTCGAGCCTTTGGCTCAACAGAAAAACATGAATTTTCCTCACTTCATCGAGGTGGGAATGGATACCCGGCTATAGGCAGTAGACAGCGAAATATCTTGTATTTTACTGTTTTAGCGCCAATAAAAAAACGGCAGCTTGCACTGTATGCTTCCAAGGAAGTAGATGTGTCAGAATGCTATCAGGCCCGCTGTGGTCATGATATAGATTGTAAAGTGCATAGAGCTTGCTGTTGAGTGGGAATATGTGCTATACAAATACTATCTATTATTATTCTTAGTATTTCTGTAATGTCAAAAGGGCTATTGCTTGTTAAGTAAAGACAGAGCTGTCCGTCTTCCGTGTGATAAGAAAACAATGCTATTTTGGTAAATCAACCTTTTTTTAATTTATTTTCAAAATCCAGCGAGAAGAAGAGTTACCCGCGACATTTAGGTAATTCAGATAAAAGCAATTTCCAAAATTTGATGTTATTTTTATCACCAGGGTGCCCCAGCATCTAACCAACTGGGCCGCAACGTCTGTGGCCCATCGCCGATAAGTTTTGTATGATATATTATTGAAAGCAATATATCCTATCGGCAAAATATCAACTTTGGAACTATTTCACAAAATGAACTGCAGGTACCTTCTTTTTGCTGGATTTTGAAGACCACTAAGAAATAAATAAATAAACAAAAATAATTTTTTTAACTACCCACATGCCCCCCAGACAACACACAGAAAAAAAAAACAAGGGGAAAAAAAGCAACAAGCTCAACTGTTGTGGTAGCATATAAGTTAAGACTGGATTTATTTCCTCCAATCCTCAACAGGGAAAAAATGTTTCAACGCGTCACAAAGCATACAGGGTCCCAACAGCCTCAACCCCTCCGCGTGTGCTGCGGCTCCAACAGCCAGGGTGGTGGTCTCTCTCTCTTCTGTCCATCGTCCGTTTCCTTCCTTGTTCCCGGTCGGGCTACCGTCTGTCTGTCAGTGTGTTCGTCTCTCACTCCTCCCCCCCAGGCACGCATCTCGGCTCACACATACGCTGTCAATAAGGAGTTCTTCAGTGCTGCTTCTTCCTGAAAGAGCAGCCTGGGGAGACATCAAAATACAAAACTACGTAAGTCACATGGGAGGCATTTCTGTAATGGGAAGAGGTGGTGGTTTTAGTTTAGTTTTCGAAAGTATTTTACAACAACTGCAACACAAAAATAGATCAAATAAACGCAGAAGAGCAGCATAAGTATTACAAGAGAGTGACAAACACAGATTTAGATAAGACTAAAACAATTTTAAAAAATAAATAATAAACAGAAACCATAATGGAACACAAGATTCACAAGTTGTATCAGTCTTTTCGTGCAGAGCCAGCCACAAGTTCAGGCTGTTCTGTATAGCGAGAGAGACGTGGGGTGTGACCCACTTACTGTCCACAGTATAAACGGTTGTGAGAGCAACGGGACACGCTGACACAATAGCTGGACTGTGGGACATTATAGACGACAATATCTGTACTATTTTTTAACAACAAACAAACCAGGTCACAGGAAAATGTTCTCCCCCCCCAAAAAAAACCCACCTAGTCTAGCAAGTATATTGCAAAATCAGCAGAATGCGAAATTGAGCAACGATGCAGTTTTATATACAGGTACAAAGAAAATATCTATTGGAAAAAAAATTGGGACCTGAAAATCTGTTGTGTGTGTGTGCAAGACTTCTAAATGACAAGGTCTAAAAAAAATTTTTTAATTTAAAAAAAAAAGAGTAAAAGAACAAAGGAAAATGCCTGTTCACGCCACTATTCACGCCACATTCTACAGGGACATCTTTACACTAGCCTATCCAGTTATAGAAGAAAAAATGAGAAAGACAACGGGAAGTTTTACAACCCAAAAATAACAATTACATAACCAAAAAAACAAAATACCCTGGGCACCTCCAGACTACACCCCACAACGACAAGACAGTTTTAGTAAAGAGTTTTACGGCACTTGCAACACAATAAGGTCATATAAGTGCCGAAGATTAGAGGTGTTACAAGAGAGGAACAAACACAAAATAGAAGGAGGAGAGATCAGGACGATAGACGTTTGATAGGAAAGAAGAAGCAAACCACACCAGAGCACCCGCCAACCACCCACACGACAAGACAAAGAAAGCCATGTGTGCCCATAACATCTTATTATGACCACCACTAAAATAACAATCATAACCCCCAAATAGTAGTGCAAATTACAGCTAGCAAAATTATAAACAAAACGATACTTCTAAAATTAAAGAGCTCAAATACAAAAGTTGTATCTGTCTTTTCGTGCAGAGCCAGCCACAAGTTCAGGCTGTTCTGTATAGCGAGACAGACGTGGGGTGTGACCCACTTACTGTCCACAGTATAAACGGTTGTGAGAGCAACGGGACACGCTGACACAATAGCTGGACTGTGGGACGTTATAGACGACAATATCTGTACTATTTTAAATTTTTTTTTAAACACACAAACAAACCAGGTTACAGGAAAATGCTCCACAAAAAACACCTAGTCTAGCAAGTATAATATTGCAAAATCAGCAGAACATGACATTTTTCAACGCTACTGTTTTATATACAGGTACAAAGAAAATATCTACTAGAATAAAATTTGGGACCTGAAAATCTGTTCTATGTGTGCCCTAGACGGTATACTTCTAAATGACAAGGTCAAAAAAAAAGAACAGGAAAATGCCTGTGGAGGCACTATTCACGCCACATATTCTACAGGGACATCTGTACACTACACTATCTAGTTATACAAGAAAAAAAATTAGAAAAATAATAGAAGTTTTACAACCCAAAAAATAATTATATAACAAAAGCAAAACATCTTGGGCACTTCCAGACTACACCCCACAACGACAAGACAAAGAAAGCCATGTGTGCCCACGTGCCAATAACATCTTATTATGACCACCACTAAAATAACAATCATAACCCCCAAATTGTTGTACAAATTACAGCTAGCAAAATTATAAACAAAACAACGATACTTCTAAAATTAAAGAGCTCAAATACACAAGTTGTATCAGTCTTTTCGTGCAGAGCCAGCCACAAGTTCAGGCTGTTCTGTATAGCGAGACAGACGTGGGGTGTGACCCACTTACTGTCCACAGTATAAACGGTTGTGAGAGCAACGGGACACGCTGACACAATAGCTGGACTGTGGGACATTATAGACGACAATATCTGTACTTTTTTTTTTTAAACCTTACAGGAAAATGTTCTACAAAAAACACCTAGTCCAGCAAGTACATCGTAAAATTAGCAGAATGCAAAATTTTGCAATGTTACTGTTTTCATATGCAGGTACAAAGAAAATATCTATAAGAAAAAAACTGGGACCTGAAAATCTGTTGTATGTGTGCTAGATGGTATACTTTTGTAAATGACACGCTCTAAAAAATTATTTTTAAAAATTTAATTTTAAAAAGTAAAAGAACAAAGGAAAATGCCTGTTCACGCCACTATTCACGCCACATATTTTACAGGGACATCTTTACACTAGACTATCTAGTTAAAGAAGAAAAAAAAATGAGAAAGATTAGAAGTCTTACAACCCAAAAATAACATATAACAAAAACAAAACATCTTGGGCACTTCCAGATCGTACACCTCACTGAAATAACAATCATAATCCCAAAATTGTAGTAGAAATTACAGCGAACAAAATTATAAACATAACAATGATACTTCTTAATACACAAGTGCTGTTTGTATCAGTCTTTTCGTGCAGAGCCAGCCACAAGTTCAGGCTGTTCTGTATAGCGAGAGAGACGTGGGGTGTGACCCACTTACTGTCCACAGTATAAACGGTTGTGAGAGCAACGGGACACGCTGACACAATAGCTGGACTGTGGGACATTATAGATGACAATAGGTGGCGAAGAAAACTCAATGCAACAGAGCATCAGCTTCAAATAAACACAGGAGATGAGATTCAATGCCAGACAGACCTATTTTTTCTTTTAAAATCATTTTTCGTATGAGTCTTATGGCCCTCTAACAGGTTTTAGTAAGGTTTTACTGCGGCGCTCACAAGAGAATAAGGAATAAGGTTATGAGTCAAGAGGTGGGTGTCAACAGAGAAGTCGAAACGGAGAACCAGGCTTACTCTGCTCACCCCTTGCAACACAAATAGGTCATATATGTGGCGAATATAAGCAATGTTATATGATGCTAGAGAGTAATGCATAGAAAACGAGGAGGCGAGATACTGATGATGGATGTTTAACAGGAAAGAAGTAGGAGCAAATAACCCAAGAGCGCCCGCCAGCCACCCACAAAAACAAGCCAGACAACACAAACAGGTAAATACAAGTCAGTCCCTCACGGGGAGAATTATGGGAGAAATAAAAAACATAAAGATCAGCTTTATTCTTAATACAACGAAGGAAAAGGGTTTGACTGTTTGTAAAGAAAAGCACATTGACACAATAATGGCCAAGTGCTGGGGTAAATTAAAAGCAAGACAGACAGACAAACAACAGAGGGAAACTAAAAAATTTGGACCCACCAGTGGCACCCTCCAACCACTCACAAGAGAACACGGCTTGGTGCTAATGGTTATATTCTAACAAAAACGACAAAATGTGGGATTCAGAGCTGACATATGTGCACTGTAAACTTCTTAAAAACAAAACATTGTGAAAATCGTCTGTATGTATCTGTCTTTTCGTGCAGAGCCAGCCACAAGTTCAGGCTGTTCTGTATAGCGAGACAGACGTGGGGTGTGACCCACTTACTGTCCACAGTATAAACGGTTGTGAGAGCAATGGGACACGCTGACACAATAGCTGGACTGTGGATTCTCCCTTAAAAAATATAGCCCACGACTTCCATAGTTCTGTACTTTATGGACACAACAGAGAGGAAGTTAGAATGGATATCAGTGACAAGATTCCGGTGGCTAGCTAACCAGAGAAGACATAATTCTATCGCCATACTTATTTTATACCACAAAATATTTGAACACTAAGTCTGGTCTTATTGAGAAAAGAGAAACACACTGACAACGGTCATATAGTGCAGGAAAAGAGCATGGCAGAAGAAACAAAAACAAGAGAGAGAAAGAAAAGAAGTAGAATGTACTAGATTAGTAGCACCCTCCAACCACTTATGAGCACTAAGTCAAACCAAACAAGATCCCACAGCTGATTAGAACCCTTCTGAAACTGTCTTCTGCTGCATCAGATCATGGACAGACAAAAACTAACAAACAAACAAAACAAAACCCCATCATCAACTCACACACACACACACACACACACACACCCACCTTCTGTTAATCTGGCTTTGCCACCAGTAGGCTGGCACAGGACAGTAGAGCAACCAACGCACAGGACAACGGTCTGGGCATGGCTAAACACTGTGGTGATTTTGTAGCAGCCTGAGGACATAGCACAGAAACATGTCGTTGAAAGAGAAAATTATGGTACGAGAGAGAGAGAGAGAGGGAGGGAGAGAGAGAGAGAGAGAGAGAGAGAGAGAGAGAGAGAGAGAGACATACAGACAGAGGCCACTTTTCTCCTTGACAATGGGTGGCCGTCTTACACAGGTTCGACTATATAATTATATATATTTAAGTCACACAGGGTAACCATGACTGATTGAATGAGAACGATTTTGTATTCATTAACTGTAACTGTAAGGTTTCATTGGATTTTTAATTAACTGTAAGGTTTCATTGTAAAAACAAGAAATAGATGAGTAACATTGGCCAAGAGTTGTGTCCACTTAGAGTGGGAGGGAGGGTGGTGGTGGTTGGGTCAAACAAAAATAAAATAAAGTTCACAAAACCAAAAGGGGTTAATTCCGACTGTAACGTACAAAGAAAAGATTTATTATTCATAGCTGCCACTCAGGAATTTCAAAAAAAAAGGAGGAAATTCACGCAAAGAGGCGTACGTGCGTTCTAAGGCTGGAGTAAAACCAGTGAGATTCAGAGGCAACATATTGGAACATCAATGTTTTTGGAAGGGACAAATGTACTATTTGTTAACTATACTGAATTAAAAGGACCACCCCCCCCCCCTCCCCAAGTTGACCAACAAGACTGACCCAGTTTGGTGACTAAAAACCCAGTGTTTGTTGTTAACTATTGTCTCATAAAAAGATTTCTTTCACTCTTTCGACTTGTGCAACAATGTAGAGCAGTATTGGATTAAGGAGGCAACACCTTTGCCACTGTACTACAAGATTTCTGTAGATCGGTATAGCACCAAACACAAAGCGCAGCACCCGGCTTGTTCAATTTTCTAATGAACTTTTGAAGCCGCACAATGTCTGCTTCTTTCTCTAGCGGTGAAACTAGCGCTAGGCAGTAAAGTAAGTAGACACAGAAAGGAAGTAAGAAGCTACGGGCTGACAAGCGCAAGGCGCGTTTTCGTCCCACTCCCTGTTCGGAGTTTTCCGCGTGTAAAAAAAGTATTGCAATTTGCGACCGAGAACGGTCCAGCGGAGGAAGGAGGAAAGTAGCGGGAAAAGCTAGATGAAGCGGAGTTTCCGCTATTTAGCGGAAAAGTGGCAGCTATGATTATTCTTCAGCCACCCCAGGATTCACATTCCAGAATTTCAATTTTTTCCCTTCGTGAAAATCTCACAAGCTTACCAGATCATTTCCTTTTCATCAAATGAAAATGCTTTAAATGCCAAATGATCCGTTTGTTGTTAACAGCTTTTGTGAACTTTGTGGTCAACGTGAACTCCAGAGTGTTGTATGAACACGATTCTGAGCTAAACATCCACGCTCACGGGGCACCGAAGTAATGGGGTGGTGAGTGAGAGTCCAGCAAGTTTTGTGAAAGCAGGGAAAGAGACTCTCCGTTAATTTTTAATACTTTGGTATCGTTAATTTTTTTTGTAAAAATGGCGGACAATTCATGTTTACTAGTAGCGTTAAAAAGGATGTGGGTAATCTCATGGCAGGGGTAAACACAAGGAAGGACACCGGCAAAAGAGAGCGACCACAATGTCGACAAGCTTCTCCGCTGAAGCAAGCCAGTGTCGACGGAAACTGCATGCAGCCAAAAATGTAGGCCGATTGCTTTGACACGGACAAAAGTGACTGTGTAGTAAAATCATAGACTCTGCTTCGGTGCGGAAAAAGGGGAAAACGATGCTTGACAGACGCACACCACCTACATTTTAAAGCATGCAAAAACCTGAAGTGAAATTTTAAAGAGAAACGCTCACCCACCCCCAAAACTATAAGGGGGTAACCTGCAGGTTTAATGTGTAATATACGCACATCTGTGCGGAACAGGGAGACCTGTGAGGTGAGGGAAATTCGTGTAAAGTGTCTTTCTCACAGACAAAACATAAGGCCCAAGTCTGGAACCCTGAACCCACAATTCCGTTGTCAATTCACGAGGATATGTAAAAGGATAGATCTTGAAAAACTTGGCTGGATACTGTGTACCAGCGGAGCCCTTACCCACCAATTGCACCAACAAGTTCCAAATACAGTTAACATGAATAAAGCTTTTGAACGACCACCCAATGTACCCACATTCTGAGAGATCGGAAAACAGGCCACAAAATTTCAACAAAAACAAAAGCACAGAGAGTGAAAAATAGTAAAAACTCACCAGGGCATTTTACATCCATGAAATAGCTGTTGGGGCTCTGCACTAGTCGCTTCAGTTTGCATTTTCTCTTCTCTTCCTCCAGAGAGGGGTGCAGTAAATCTTTTGCCAACTGGAAAACAAGAAGAAAAGAGAAACCTGTGGCACTCAATTTTATTTATTTACATTTTTTAACTTTCCCAGAAAAGGCTAAATTCACCAAATCTAGAACACCACAACCAATGGGTTATAATAGTTTCTCCCAAAAACAGGCCTTTTCTGAGCAACCCAATGCAGTAAAAATGACGCCACTAACAAAAATTTCACCCACAACAAACCAACCCCACTACCATTAAAAGCATACATTGTCACTTGTAAAATCCCATCCATAAACGATTGAAAGCTGACAAGTCTATATATAGTTCCAGAATTAATGTAACTTCTTTCTGCATGCAACGCATTAACAAAAAAAAACTTTACTACGTCATTGCACCCAACACTACTAACAAAATATTCACACTCCTCTTTTCTTTTTAGGCTTGACAAAATCTGTACTGTCATTTTCCTAATCCAGTTTCACTTTCACAATCACCCATGTCTTAGCCATTGTCAATATTATCCTCACTATGCATGAGAAGTGGAACCCCCCCCCCCCCCAACATGGGAGGCAACACCTACTCCATTCTAACCTTCTTATCCTTACATTTACTATTTTTACAACTACAACTCGTCATCATTTGACTTCGCAAGTCAAACTGAAACAAAAACAATCCAATTTTTAAAGACAACTTCGAATCTAAATCTGAGAAATTTCTGCCTTTCGTAAGGCCTTCTGTGAACCAGATCTTGCAATTTTTCTTTAAATTGGCTAATTGGCTGAATTCCAGTTTCCTTTCACTTTGCAGAGTATTGGAGCTGCATTTTAAAAAATTATCAAATTCAGGGAGGGCTCCTGCAAAATTCATGTTCTTTTTCAACACAATATTGTGTAATAAATGAAGTCAAAAATAGAAGTAATCAGCTTCATTTTTATCAAATAGTTTACTTCTCAGTAACAGATACAGAAACTGAAAATGACATTATGACTGTAACCCCAGCCTTCCAACACATCCTCTGTATCATCACAATCTTCAATTACGGACATGTTTTGCGCTTTTGGTACCTACTACACTACACCATTGAGTCAATTGCCCTCACTTTTCCACCTGTGACGATTGTCGAATTGTGTCAAATATTTCCTGTGGAGATCCCAAAGACTCTCTACAACACTTCACAAACTTTGGAGATACCGCATGGAACAACATGTTGCGGAAGTGGCTTGACCCATTATCCATATCGACGTGTTTCGCACCCTAAAATTTCACACTTGTGGCTAACTGCAGCACGTCAGCCATGCTCTGGTGATGGAAGATCGCTAAGATCGTTGATGCCCACAACAGTAAGAACGCTGATGCTTGAAATTTAAACACGGTAAACGCAAAGACAATAAAGCGCGCGAAAATTGCCGTAATACGCAGAAGAGATAAGCAGCGGCACAGCATCGCATCATATCACATGACCGGTAGGCTACATCTCCTGGAAAAACATCGCGCCATGGTCGGTAGGCTGGTGATCTTGTAGTTCCATTCGTTAAAGTCCACAATCCATTTGTTTACATCCAGAGAAAATCCGGAAGCCTTGACCTTGATGACCAAATAGGCAACAAAAAGAACAGGGATGCAACCTCTGCAAAACATTCAATTATGGTAAAATTCAGGGGGGCATGTCCCCCCTGAACCCCCCTTCCATATTTTTTTTTTTAGGTCAGGGGGGCCCCCCCCCCCCCCACTCTTGACTCTTGGTCTTGGGGCCTAACCCGGCCAATAATAATTGGGGGGTGGGAACTACCGATAATAAAGTACCATTCTTTGCTTGAATTTTTATTTTCTGGCTTTGCTTTAGTGTTTCTTTCCAGTCTTACGTTTAGTTCACTCCTCAACGATTACCTGGCAATTCAGTCTCTGGCGTTCAGCTTTGGACTTTATATAATCTTTAAATTAACGAACGAAACTACAAAATCGCCGGTATATAGAAGATTCAGCGCTTTTTCGGTAGTTCCCACCCCGCATTTGTTATTCGCCGGTATTGGCCCCAAGAGTAGGGGGGTTTCAAAAATTCAGGGGGGCTTGCCTGACCTAATAAAAACATGGTGGGGGGTTTCAGGGGGGCATGCCCCCCTGAATTTTACCACAATTTAATGTTTTGCAGTTGTTAGGTTTGATATCTTAGCTTGCCGCGAATCAAACGTATATAGATCTAGATCTAGATGTAGGTCAAGCTCAATCAAATAAGGCCGGCACTATTTCTCCGAACGTTCGGGAAAATAAAGCTTGGCACTATTTCTCCGAACACTCTGAAATCACATCCTTTCTCGCAAATTTCGGATATTATATAGATCTATAATTATAGTATAAGCTTACCAAAGATTGTTCGTATACAATATGGTTCAAGCGGTCCAAAAAATGTCCGCAGTAAATATTTATATAAAGAAATGCTACAATTCCAAACAGTTTTTCGCCACAGATATGGCGTGTTGCCTATGAAGGGTGCTGCTCTTAAACGTAATGTGTTGTGTTCACTCGTGTGCTGTCTAGATCTAGATCTAGATCTACGGAGGGTTATTGATAACGACACATAGAACTGGCATCTGCGTTTGTCACTGCTGCGACCAATGTACTCAGCCTGTATTCAGTAACAGTTCAAAGTATACAAAAATAGAAACACAGGATCCATTCACTCCAGGGCTCATGAGTCGTTCGTCTCTTTCAGTTTCCCTCATTCATTCAATTCAGGCTCAATTCCCGTGTTCTCTCCCGCGGCTCATCCCTGTCCGCATGACTTTCTTCATACCCCACCCCCTCCCTCCAGGCACACACAAAGAAAATATCATTCTTTCCTTTGCACCCTGCGAACCATGGACAATAATATAGGCAAAACACTGCCTGAGCTGCATTCCTTTCTTTCGTGAGTTGTGGACCAGGCCAGGGGGTCGGTGTCGTCGTCTTGTCTTGTAGTTGCTGTCGCCTGTGGATACACTCGCACATTCTTCCTTTCACCCGCTCTTTCACTCACACTGTCTCTCCGTCCACAGCTCAGCTCGTCATACGTTCAAAAGTTGCCCACTGGTCATGTTTAGTTAGTGTGTGTACATGATGTGCATGATGGTGGTGGGTGTTACTGAAGGTTGTCTGTAGGCGGGCTTGCCATGCGGTGTTCCTTCCCAGACCAGAGGCCAGAGGCAGAATGAAAGTTGGCGCCGAACTCTCGCAATAAATAGACAAAAAATCACGAGACCGGAAGCCGGAAACCGTTCGGAGAAATAAAGATCGGCACTATTTCTCCGAACGTTCGGAGAAATAGTCACTTCGATCAAATAATGGGGGTGGGAACTACCGAAAAAGCGCCGAAGATTCTAGGCCTACACGATCTTTGGTGCCATGCAGTTGGCTTTGTTTACACCATGTAATCATGTGATCGGAGGGGTATCCTAATCTTACATCACACAGGATGGCCGTCTTACCTAAAAATAGTTTGCGTCATACGTTTAGTCGCATGTCACAGCAAACATCCGCCAAAGACCAAAACTTGCCATGACCCTAACATAACATCAAAAGAACTTTCTAAGTCTAAGCCAATAGATCTAGAAATCTAGAATCTAGTGATTAAAGTGCCTGGCCCCGCAGATTGATCTTATTGTGATCGAGTTATAACAATACAACATTGAATGACATCCAAGATTTCAGGACAGCCGGGAAGTGAACAAGAACCATCCAGAATCCAGTATCAGAACCAATTATTATGGCCGGCACTATTTCTCCGAACGTTCGGGAAAATAAAGCTAGGCACTATTTCTCCGAACGTTCGGGAAAATAAAGCTGGGCACTATTTCTCCGAACGTTCGGGAAAATAAAGCTGGGCACTATTTCTCCGAACACTCTGAAATCACATCCTTTCCCGCAAATTTCGGATATTATATAGATCTATAATTATAGTATAGGCCTACCAAAGATTGTTCGTATACAATATGGTTCAAGCGGTCCAAAAAATGTCCGCAGTAAATATTTATATAAAGAATGCTACAATTCCAAACAGTTTTTCGCTACAGATATGACGAGTTGCCTATGGAGGGTGCTGCTCTTAAACGTAATGTGTTATGTTCACTCGTGTGCTGTCTAGATCTAGATCTAGATCTACGGAGGGTTATTGATAACGACACATAGAACTATTTTAGAACTGGCATCTGCGGTGGTCACTGCCATGACCAATAATGTACCGACACTGGCAGGCCCCTTAAGGTGTGTGATTCCATAATTTACATGTAATATCCTCTCCTTAAAAAAAAAAAAATTACTCACATTTAGGGTTAAAACAGCCAATCTTCTTCGGACAGGTGGACACACGCCCTTATTTGTTAATGTTTGTTGTTTATCATGGGCTGTTCTAATTTTGATTTCATTCTGTTGTGAAACATTTCTTTTTCACGTTTTTACACTCATCTAAAAATATCTAGACTAGCTCTTGAAAATTGAAATAAATATAGACCCAAAAATTTGCTCCTGTGTGTGTGTGTGTATGTATGTGCGTGTGTGAGTGTGTCTGTGTGTGATAGTAAGTGTGTAAGTGGAGAGTGAGTGTGTGTGCGTTTGTTTTTCGGGCTTTATTTCAGCCTTCATTCAGTAACAGTTCAAAGTATACACAAATAGAAACACAGGATCCATTCACTCCAGGGCTCACGAGCCGTTCATCTTTTTCAGTTTCACTCATTCATTCAATTCCCGTGTTCTCTCCCGCGGCTCATCCCCGTCCGCATGGCTTTCACACCCCACCCCCTCCCTCCAGGCATACACAAAGAAAATCTCACTCATTCCCTTGCACCCTGCGAACCATGGACAATAATATAGGCAAAACACTGCCTAAGCTGCATTATTTTCGTTCGTGAGCTGTGGACCAGGCCAGGGGGGTCGGTGTCGTCGTCTTGTAGTTGCTGTCGCCTGTGGATACACTCGTTAATTCTTCCTTTCACCCGCTCTGTCACTCACACTGTCTCTCCATCCACAACTCAGCTCGTCATACGTTCAAAAGTTGCCCACTGATCATGTTTAGTTAGTGTGTGTATAAGTTTGTGTGTGTACATGTGCATGATGGTGGTGGGTGTGTGGTGGGTTTTACTGAAGGTTGTCTGTAGGCGGGCTTTCCATGCGGTGTTCCTTCCCCCAGACCAGAGGCAGAAT